AACACAGAGAGGACACAGTTTTGATGAGAAAGTGCAGGGGTAAACCTTGCACACCATCCCAGAGGCCTATGAACAGGGCAAAATAAGAGAAAAGCAGAATCCAAGTTACAGATACTGACCCCAAATGAGATCTTTAGCTAGGAGAGAATAGGAAAGACAGGATCTTGGAGATATAATAAGAGTCTACCAAAACTCCAAGCAACCAGGATATGAGACTTAAGACAAAGTTCATCTTAAGTATCATTATGAACTTTCCATATTTGCTTTTTAACTCAGAATTACAGAATCTGGCAGTCTTCCCCAGCTGGCCCACCTGGCAGCATAAACTGCTAATGGTCTTTAAGCTGTTCTAAATTGAAGTCTTTACATGACATTAAATCTTTTGCTTTTGCCCTGTGAAAGACTACCTAAGACTTACTTGCAAATTTTAGTTTTTCCGTTAATTCATTGTTTCTTTCCTGTGAGGTTAAAGCACAACCAGGTGAAACGAGGTGAAATGTTGTGGATACTGATGGTATCTGAATTTTGGGGCATGGATTCAATAGTTCAGCTCAGTTACCACATCTTTTGCAATTTACACTACAAATAATTTATTTGCCTGAGATTACTCTATGGGCTTTTTCAAGATTTTCAGTACAGTTGAGTAAGGATGATGACAGCTTTTCTTGCACCCTCTGCTGCTGGTGGTATTAAGTATGCAGCCTGGGGTCTGATGTCCCAGGCTTTGCCCCGTGCTCTGCAGCCATGCTGCTACACTGGTTGTCCTCATGGATGAGATTCATCTGACTGCAAGATCCCAACATCTGTATTCATGTATTTCACAGAATCACAGAATTGCCGAGATTGGAAGGGACCTCAAGAGATCATCAGGTCCAACCCCCTGCTAAAGCAGGTTCCCTACAATTGGTCACACAGGTAGGCGCCCAGATGGTTCTTGACTATGTTCATAGAAGGACACTCCACAACCTCTCTGGGAAACCTGTCCCAGTACTCCATCACCAATACTGCAACAAGGTTCTTCTGCATGTTTGTACAGAACTTCCTGTGTTCAGGTTTTAGGCCATTACTCCTTATCCTATCGCTACACACCGCCAAGAAGAGCCTGGCCTCATCCATTTGCCTCCCACCTCCCTTCAGATATTTATAAGCATTTATCAGCACCCCTCTCAGTCTTCTTTTCCCCAGGCTGAACAAACCCAGGTTACTCAGCTTTTCCTCACACAGGAGATGCTTCAGGCCCTCATCTTTGTAGCTTTCTGTGGACCACTTCCAAGAGATCCCTGTCTTTTCTGAACTGGGGAGCCCAGAATAAGTATTTGAACAACCCTGCAGTAGTTTCTTAAATAGGTTGAGTGATTTTTTTTTCCTCCGAAGAGTTTTTTCACCAGGAATAAATGTAGCCTAGGATGGTGTGTACCTTACAGACATCTAAAGTCATGTGAATTGGATTCCACCCAAAATGACCAAACTTTCAAAGTGTGAAACTTTTTCCAAAGATGAGCACAGGCCTGCTGTGCAGAAGACAACTCTGCACCAACTGCTGGACGTTACTGTGCCACTGTCTTGTGCTTTGAGCACATTTTCTGCAATGCAGAGTGTGCTTTTTCACCTCTCCTCGTATTCTCACAGCTGAAATGGTTGTGGCAGCACAGAGGGCTCCACGGATCCCAAATTTGTGTCCTGGGGCACCAAGGCATTGACCGTTGGAACACTGCCCTCAAATAATCAATTGGACAGGGTGGCACGCAAGCATTGCGCTGGCCAACCAGCGGCAAGTTGGGGTATTTCCTCACTCTCTGGAGAGGAACCACTATTTGTTTAATAGAGGTCACCACCTGAAAACATTGCAGTGCTCTTTTGGGCTGCCACACTCCAGGAAAGAGGAGCTGGGAAGCCGGACGCCGGCTGTGGGAAGCTCTGAGACCTGGAGGCCATTTTGGTTCTGGTAAGCACAGCTGTTTGCCTTCTTCCATTTGTGTCACGAAGAAAAACCTTCTAAAACCCTAGCTAACAATTAGAAGCTCACTCTTGCTGCCTTGCCTGACAAAGCTGCAGACAGAGAGTGCTTTTGTTTGCTGAATTAATAAAGCATTTTGAGTGCTTCTGGCGATCCAGAGTGTTTTCCTAAGCCATAATAACATGGCCATATCATCTGATGTGCGCAGGTACAACAGCTGCATTGATTCTGGCAGTGGAGGCTCTCATTAGGTCTGGTAATTGTGGCAATTCTCCTTTCAGCAGGAAGCGGTGTTGAGATAGGTCAGGGCTGGAACCCTCCCAGAATAAATCTGCACTCTTCCAGCCGAAGCAACGTTGTGCTCCTGTGCACTGGGTGAGAACCAGGCCCTGCGGCTACGTGTGAAAGATGCTCCCCAACAAGTCTCAGCTAAATGGGAGGAGGCAAGGCTGTGCCTGTGCTTGCTTGCTTCTCTCTGTGAGGGAGCAGATGAGGTTGGGCAAATGTATGGAAAAGCAAATGTGGGAACAAAGCGAGAAAGTGGGCAGGAAAAGGTCAGCATAAAAATGCATTGGATATTTAGGTAAAGACAGTTAAAATGTCCAGTGTTTTTTCCATCCCCTCCCTGCTTCATCCTTCCTTTGCACATTGTCTATTTGGTTAGATTTTTATCTTTTGAAGCCAGTTGTTCTGTTTTGTTTTGTTTTGTTTTAATCCAGATGCTTGCAAGATGCCTTGCCCAAATTTGAGCATTATATAAACAACAGGTAATGACCATAAAGTAAGAAACATGTCTGTTAAATGTTCCTTTCTGAAATAGTTTAATGATGGATAACTCATTTTATGGCTGGATTAAAACACATGATGTGATTATGAAGTACTCAGAAGATAATGCAGATAAGCAGAGTGCTCTTATTAAATTCATAGTCACAGAGATCAGTTTTTTGCTGTAGAAAGGCAAACTCAGAAGTCTCTGGCAATCTCAAAAACCTTGCAGCAATATCCTGCATCCCTGCAAATCAGAGGACTGTCTTCATGCCTTACCTCATTTTTTTCATTGTCTTCATTCTGTCAATGAAGCTGGGTTCAGTACGCCTCTGGTTTTCTCAAATATGTTCCTGCTCTCTCCCATTTGGGCCTTTTGCCTGGGAACACAACCCAGACTGATTTATGTACTCCCAGCCCGCTTAATACCTTCCCAATATCAACTTTTGACACAGAACTTGCAGGATTAGCCAATGCGCATGACTAAATTGAGGCACATTTCATTGTTTACTGCCTTGGCTATTATAAAAACTATTTGCACATAACAAACGAAGGCATAGTTGTGTGCATGGGTGTGTGTGCATGAAGAACACAGTCTACCAAAAGGATGGGTATCCAGATCACCTTCCTTCTTTTATAACTTGCTCATTGTAAAGCAAAGCCTTCTTTGTGATAAGCCATCAACTTTCTCTGAGGACAGAAAGTTACAGATTTAAATGTTGTGTTTTTATGCATTTGAAAGCCTTAAACTGTCATGAAGTGATGATAAGAACCATAGAATGGTTTGGTTTAGAAGGAACTTCAAAGATCTCCTCTAATCCCCTGTCATGGTAAGGACATCTCTCACTAGATCAGGCTGCCCAGGACCCCATGCCACCTGGCCTTGAACTCTTCCAGGGATGGGGCATCCACAGCTTTCTTGGGCAATCTGTTCCAGTGCCTCACCACTTTCATTATGAAGAATTTCCTTCTTAAATCCAATCTAAATCTACCCTCTTTCAATTTAAAACCATTGTCCCTTGTCTTGTCCCTGTGAGCCCTGGTGAAAAGCCTTTCTCCATCTTTCTTATAAGCCCCTTTTAAATACTGAAAGGCCACAGTAAGGTCTCTCCAGAGCATTCTTATCTCCAAGCTATACTTCCTGATCATGAAGAAGTTGTGATCAGTTTGTTCCATAAAGTTAACAGCAACATGAAAGTTCAGTAATCTCCTTTCCAGGAGTCTGAATCTCCCAGTCTTACTTGGAGAAATGTATATGGATCCAGTTTTGTACTGATCAGCCTTCTCTTTGGCTATAGATTGCAGCTTGGGTGTAGTAGGAACTGGAGTTGTTTGGTTTGGTGAAGGGAATCTAATAGCAACCTACACCACTACTGGAGGGAGTGACAAGGGTGACGGAGTGGTAGGAGAGGATAAAATAAGGAACAACAGCAGTGTTTCCATCTTGTGAAGTTCATATAAGACATGAGGAAAGATTTATTCACTTATATGATGTGGCAGTCCTGCAACAAGTCACCAAAAGTAGTGGTCATAACTTCATGCTTGGGGCTTTTCAAGGCTCAGCCAAACAAAGCTAGGGCCAATGCAGATACCTAGTGTTGGTGGCAGCCCTGGTTTCAGCAGGAGGTTGGGCTGGAGACCTGCAGAGATCTCTTCCAAGCAGAGCCTTATCTGTGATGATTCTTTGATTGCAAAAAGTGATTCTTTGGGTTTAAAAACCACTGTAAAATGTTAAGCTGCAGTTTTACACATTAAGACAGATCTCTGAAAATGAGGTGGAATGGCTCTCTGACCTACCCTTAGCATATAGCCACAGAAGTAGATGTGCTTACAGTTTTTCTGGATACTTTATCATGGGTGCCAGCAGTCCCATAACCCATAGTCTTATCTACCTTTATCTGTAGATTTAGCATGTCACAGGAAACAGCCATGAAAGTTTATCCACCTCTTACTGTCCCTATAGTTTTGACTGAAGTGCACCCATAAAATCATAGAACGGCTTGGGTTGGAAGGGACCCCAAGAATCAGCAAGTTCCAACCCCCTGCCTGTGGCAGGGCCACCAGCCTCCAGGTCTGGTACTAAACCAGGTCATCAGGTACTTCACCATCTCATCTTCTACACAAGGCCTAAGCCCCACTTGAAAACCTGCCAGGTAGGGTATCCATTTGTGTGGTGTTCTTGATGTTCCCAGTCAGGCAATCACCCATTAACAACTGAAATATAACCCTCCATCCATTTCATACCAACATCTGTTTATTCCTGGTAATTTTAAATAAATCTAATTTAAACAATCCAGTTTGGAATAATTCCATTTTAAATAAAGGCTATGAAGAGAACAGGCTTTGTATGACAACATTGCGCATGTCAGTCTTAACTAGAACATTTCTTGTTTCACATCTGATTCCTCTTTCACTGAGAAGGAAAACTGCTGAAATTCCGTGCCTCCAGTGCAGCAGTAATCCAAACCTTCCTCCATCTTTCCCCAGCAGAGAGCCACCATGTGCACAGGGAAGTGTTCGAGGTGCATTGGGATCACCCTGTTCCCGCTGGCTGCGTGTGCTATAGTCTCCAACATCCTCCTGTACTTCCCCAATGGACAAGTTCTGCAGCTCAGTGAGATAACCGATCTGGTCTGGTTTTTCCAAGGCATTCTGGGAGCTGGAATACTGGTAAGAGAGAGGAGTTTCTTCTGTTTGTGTTTTGTAGAACTTCTGTTAATGTAACAAAAATCATGTTAATTCCTTTTCAGAAACATCTGAGTAGGTTAACTGGGAAGGTAGAGTGCAGAGATGAGAATTTAAGACTAAAAAAGTCCCAGTTCCTGAAATACAGTCTATTCCTGAAATAAACATCAGCTTTTCCACATCATGAGTAAGACTGCCTTTCCACTGTGAAGAACAGTGATGTGGGTGATCATGTCTTTGCAGTTGAAGCATAGATGAGGTCCTAAGCTAGCTAGAGGTGGTGAGCTTTCACCTTGGATACAGTCCTTCCTTATTCCTCTCACTGATTTTATTCTCACAAAACCTATCTAAAAATATTAAGGGCAAAACTGAAATGTGTTTTGGTGGGTGTTCATTAGTGACCCAGCCACCATCATGTGAATGTGGAGCTGAAAAGGACTTGAACCCCAAATGCCTCCCACACTCCTCCATACTCAGCTTCTCTTGGATTTGGTCTGATTTGTGCGTGCTGTTTTGTGACCAGTTCTCCATTCCAAGACTTAGAAAAAAATTGAATATCCGTAACCAGAAGGGAACATATTTGGGAATAGTGATATTTCCAGTTCATTAGAAGCCTACTCTGTGCATGTTCTTTCAGTTATCCACTCAGGTGCAGACAAAAAGCTGAGCAAGTGACATGCATATGACAAGCAGTGAATGTCATGCAGCCCAGGCAGATGGTAAATTGGTGCAGAGATGGCTACCTGCACATCAGAAAACTGAATGTTTAGAAATAATTAACTTAGAAAGAAGTAAATCTTATTCAGTTGGGCCAGCTAGCACTTAAGTCTATAGAAAACTACAATGGATGTGGTTCAGACTTATATTTCCCCCTGCAGAAATGTGGTATAGGATCATTCAATAAATTGCTCCCCACCAGCAGCTTGCCTGCTTCTTCTTCTAGCTGCTACTTGGGCATATTATTCACACTGAGCTTGAACGTAAGCAATGAGTGTGTGGCAGGAAGCTTAAAGGAAGAACTACATGAGAGACCGGTGGAAAATTGGTATCACTGCAAGCCCAGGAGTCATTGGTGTTCAATGAAAGAAAAGGCAAATGTCAAGCATGAAAGCATCACAAGCTCATTCAGAACGTGCCTTCTTTTAAGGCTGCCACAGAGGCTTTCCTGTGGTCAGCACTGCATACTTTAAAAATGAGAACAGCAAAGGGAGAGGGAAGGAAGCATTTGCATTGGCCTTCAAAACACAGACACCAGCAGTAGGAGTAATTATCAATCCACAAATACTGCCATTGAGTGTACATGTTTTCCAGAAGACAGTATGAGAAATGCCCACAGGTGGAGTAGGGAAAGATCATCGGCTCCATCTTCCAGGTGCTGGAAGCATGGAAAAGTGGCATCTGGCTCCTGGGCCATAGGAGAGGTAATGCAGAGGGCAAGAATAAAACCATAACTGGAGCCTGGGCAGTATCCTGACTCCACAGTAAGAAAGACTGGGCTGCACAGCTCTCCGCCATGAAAACATACTTGCCTCCAACTGGAAACTCAACCCACTGATGGATAGCCAGGTCTTCAGCACACTTCTTAGCTGAGCAGCCAGTCTCGCTCTTTCTTTCTCCTCCTGTTGCTTCTCTAATGGGAATTTACATGACATGAAAACCTTTCCATTTACTTATTTCCAAAGTTTAGGTTATAAAGAAATGAAGATTCTCTCCATGTGCCATAGTAACATCCTACCTGATGGGAAGCCTCTGTGAAGCACTGGGAAATGCCTGTTTGAATCATGGCTTACTTGCAGTCCTCATTTTACAGACAGCAGCCAAATCTAACAAATTCTCATTCCTGGATCAAAAAGCAGGTGTTTATAATCAGATAGAGAGAAAAAAAAAAAAAAAAGCTGCCAGGCAGATCCTTTATGATGAGCCAGGCTAATAAATTAAAGTGCTTACAGCTTAGATGAGAAACCTCTGATGGAGAGAGTTCTGAAGGACAGGGTGCTCATTCAATGGGATGAAGTGCTAGCTCACCCTGAAAGCCAGGTGGCAATGTACTGCCTTGGGGACCACTTGTGTTTAAGAGTTGGCTATCTCACTTCTCTACCCTTGCAAGACTCCATCTGTGGTTGAACAACCACTGTAGGTGCTGAAGGCTGTCCCTGAGGGGAGCATAAAATGTACCTTGGAGTAAATGCACCAGGAAATGTTTCGGGGCTACAAGTCTGAGGAGGTTTTGTAACACTGTCCTGTACAGTCTTAAATGGATTTTCACAATATACACATAAATTCCCTGGACTTCATTCACTGTGAACATTCTGCTTTTCATCTCCTACATGAGACAACATCTCATCATGCTGATTTTACATCTTTTCCATTTTTCTTTTTCTTTTTTTTTTCCCTCCTCCTTTCATTAACTTTACAGGGACCATTTCCTACTTTGTATGATACTGTTCTCTTACACAGCTCTGTGAAATCCATGCAGTAATAGTGGTGGACAGATTCAAAGCAGCAGGAGTGCTTTGGCTGCAAAGCTAGACTGATAAAAAGCTTTATTGCCCTCTAGCTACCAAACTAAATGCAGCCTTTCCTATCTCCAGAACACCTGTGTAAGTGGCATGACATCCTGAGATACAGATGGTAGCTGACTGCATTGTATCTGCCCAGATCCACCTGTTCATTACCATGGAGAAAGCTGATGTGAACTGGGAGTTCCCTGCTGACTAAAGTCCATTGTGAAGGTTTTCTGGAAGCTTAGCACAAAGAACAAAAGCTTTGAAACACAAAAGTGTTTCAGGAAGCTTAAAACCGATTTCCCAATTATAATTTAGACCAGGATGCATAAAGAATTTAAACTACCATAACTCGTGTTGTGCCAGGGAGGGTCAGATTGGATATTAGGAAAAATTTCTTTTCAGAAATGGTGGTGTTGCACTGGCACAGGCTGCCCAGGGAGGTGGTGGAGTCATTGTCTCTGAGATGTTAAAGAACTGTGTGCATGTGACACTGAGGGATGTGGTGTGTGGGCATGGTGAGGATGGGTTGTTTGTTGAACAAGGTGATCTTGGAGGTCTTTTCCAACCCTAATGATTCCATGAGTCTATGATCCTATAAAAGAAATCTTGCTGCAGGGATTCAGAAATCTCTTTAGATTCTACTAAAGTGAAAGTCAAGAGGGAAAGGTTTTGTTTTGGCTCATGGAAGTTTTTTACTTTCTCAAGATAACATGTTTATCTTTATTATATTTTTTTTCATGAAAATTCAAAATTCCCATTCCAGCTCAGGCAGTATCCCACAGGACAAAACATTCAACTGAGGGAGAGGAAGGAGGGCATGGCACAAAATATCACTATGGCTTATGCAAGTAAGATGTGGATGGCTTTATCTACACCCCAATGACCTGACCACAACCTGCTTCCTCCAGGCCCATCCATTGGAGCAGTCCCAGCTTGGTCAGGGAGAGAGACTGACTGACCAGTGCAGCCTTCCTAGCACTTAAATGGGAGGTGGAGGATGGAGATTCAAGTTTGAGACCAGCAAAAGGCAAAATAGTTGGCCTTCTACCCCCATTGCTCCAGTAGCAAACTCTAATAGTGGAGCAGGAGGAAATATTTCAAGAGCAGAAATTATATTTTGTCAGAACAAAACCAAACAATCTCCTGCTAAGAATAAGCAGTATAGCTTCAGATAGCTTTAGCAGGCAGAATTACTGTGTTAGAAGCTTGCCAGGCAACTGTAATGCCACTCTTCTTCCTTAGTTACTTTCAGCAAGCACAGCCCCTCAACTGGTGTAACTCACAGAGAAGAGCCCGAAAGTAGTTTGCATTTGATGAACGTGAAGCTCCTAGACTTCAACAGCCACCCAAGCAGAAGGACTGTGTGCCAATCCAACTTGTGCTTTTCTCGCAGGTTATTTTGCCAGCATTCATGATGCTGGGAGCAGGCGGAGCAGGATGTTGCGCTAACAGATGTGGGGTAAGTAGATGTGTTGAAATGGTGCTGTGGGGTTTGCACAATAGCTCTGAAGTGGCTGCTCAGCAGGTGGAAACGTAAAATAACAAACCGTCACACCACCATCAGCAGCCAAGTCATGGAAATGCAGAAGAAGAGCTTGATTTGCAGCGTCCCTGGGCTGGGGCAAAGAGCTCATTTAGCTGACAAGAATGTAATGATATTGCAGACACTGATATGAAGGGAATTGTACTCAGCCAGGGCAGGTACTGGGGCATTTAGCCACAGCGCTGAGGGTAGGGGAAGCAAAGATACTTCACCTCACCCTGCAAAAAGTAAAGCATGTCTCCTGCTTCCTCCTGCTTGAAGTGATGGTCCTCTTTCCTCCAAACTCCTCCATGGCAGTTTTCTTTTCCGTAGATTTATCCCTGCTTACCTCTATAAGGGCAGATAGGGCACCTACTAAAAGCCTGAGCTTCCACGGCTGGCACTTAGGAACCAGCACTGCTTCCCAAGGGCTGGTCCCCATGGGAGGCTCTCATCCATAGCATGCATTTGCCCAAGGGCTGTGTACATGACAGGTGCAAATGCAATTTGAGCTCTCTGTCATCCAGACAAAGGCCAGAGAGACTTTTTCTCTCAATAATTAAGAATATTATAAAGCAGCATATTATACAGACATCTCCATTAATTTTCATGCCCAGGGCACAGACTTCTCTGAGGCCATCATCATTAGCAGGAATAAACTGACTTATGTGTTTTTTTTTCAGTCTGTATCCTCCCCAAGAGCAACCTATAGTAAGAGATTCCATGCAATAAAGCACTTCTTCTGCACTCTCCAATTAATGTTTAGTTTGATCCATGAAATAATCTTTACCTCTTCAAGATTTTTCATTTTACTTAGTTCACTATGAATAATACAAAAATAACATTCTTCATTGGGATGTCAGTGAGTTCGTCCCAAAGGACAAGCCATTACATTGATCTTACTGAATGTCATGTTCACATCAAGGAGGATTTGCTAATGATGGCCAAGTGGGCCAACTGCAGAGCTGGGATGTGAGCTCTCCCTTCCTCCCAACAATAAATAGTACACAGTGAAAGTCAAATGTCCCAGGACAGGCTGTGTTTCTCCCTCAGCCCATTGACTCTGGTGGTATCACAGGGTTGCCAGTAGCCCACATCTGCAGACCTCCACGTGCTCCTCTGCTCACCACCACCCTCCTTTTGATCTTTGAGATGTCCCAGCTATCACGGAATCACAGAATTGCCAGGGTTGGAAGGGACCTCAAGGATCATGAATCTCCAACCCCCCTGCCACATGCAGCTATGCCCCTTGGTGGCCAGATATCCTGTCTATATTTTCCCAGCACTGATAGGTAATGGACAAACTGTTCTTCCTCTGCCTTATTTGAACTGGATAATCCTTATAGGTCCCTTCCAACTCAGTATATTCTACAATTCTACGGTTCTCATTTGCTGTTATAGAGGCATACAACAAACATCACTGAGAAAATGGTTTATGTTCTGCTCTATCTGTAGAAAGAAAGCCAATGGCCAAATGATGAAGCTTCTCAGACTACACTAGGGAAAAGTCTTGATGAGGACAATACACATTTGAAATATCTGACTTCTAGGATAATGGAAATTGCCCACCTCTTGACAGTGGAAATGAAAGTAGCTGTACAAGCCATCCAATTGCATAAACAGCATGTAGCCCAACACAGATATGAGGTGGGTGCACAGGTGAAAAACAAGCTGCTACGAATGGCAGTAAAGAGCATATTCCCTGCAAAGCCCTAGGGGAGAAGTGATTTCTAAGCAGTGTAAAACATAGGAGTTGGACTCAATGATCATCGTCAGTGTCTTCCAACTTGAGATATTCTACAGTTCTATAAAAGAGGCAGCTTTTGTAGGGAGATCTGAAGACCAATGATGTGTTTCTTCAGGATAAAGAATCTTAGGAAAAATTTGCTTTGGACATAGTGGGAAAAAATGTACAGAGACCCAGAAGGTTGCTCAGACATCCTGACCATATGGGCTGCGTACCCAAAGCTGGGAATGATGTGAGTCACCAGGCTCTGGAGAGCAGAGAGCTCTGGGACTGGTTCAGACACGCACAGTGGCAGTTCTGCGAGGATCTGAAATGAGATCCACAGGTCTTGGTGTCTTGTCCACCATCTTCCACCCACTAGTAGAGAAATAACACTCACTGGAGCTACTCAGGCATCACTGAGGTCCAAGGATAGTTTCTGCTCAGGTACCTTAGATGTAAAATGGTCACTTAGACAATGCTCAGCATTGCTTTTCAAAGAGAAAGGAAAAGGGCTAGAGAACCCATAATACTCCAAATTATTACTCAATCAGAACACTGCCATTTTCCTCAGGGTTGAGACTCTGTCCTATGATCATTTGTGCAATTCCTCGTTTAATAGCTCCAGACTTCATCACAGTCCTTCCATGCTAAGTATCAACAACAGCAGTAATAATAATTACTATATTTCTCATTGTTTTATTCATCTTTTGTGTTCTCCAGTTCATAGTGATGATGTGCTGCGTTGAGTAATTTTTTTTATTAATCCATTTAAAATTGTTCCCAGCCGACGCATCTGGATGGCTTCTTGTTCTTGCATTATGAAGTAATGATTTTGGAAAGTAAGAGATGTAGAAAGTGATTCAGTGTCCTGCAGCTTAGCATGTACACCACTGAAAGGATTAGCAGCATTGGCACAACAAGGAAAAAAAGCCCCTTGAAAAACAGCTTATGTCATTGCCTCAGCAAACACACTGCAGCATGTCCCACTACACCTTCCTTAGCAGTAACTGATGGAACAAGAATAGATGTAACAGCTTTCCAGACCAACCAACTTAGATAAGCAAGATATCCAGATAGCCAGATAGGTTATTAATTCCTGAAAAACTAACACAAATAAAAACCAAACAAACTCGGAAACAGAAAAACAGGGCAAAAAGGAGCAGTGCAGAGCAGTAGCAGCTGGGACACAAGAAACTTCACCAAAGTGGCTGGTGCAAATGCTCAAAGAATGAATGCTAAGAGTCTTCATTAGCTCAGCACAGACAAACTAACTGTGAAGAATAAAGCATTGAAACTGCAGAAGAAAGCAAAAACAGTCAGCAAAATCAGCAAAAATGATAGCAAAATATTTTCAGAAGGTAGTCAGGCCATGAGAAAATAATAATTTCTACAAACTCAAGCATCCCAGCTTAGACTTAATACTGCAACTGAAAAATGAGGAAATTACATAAATATATATATATATATAAATATATAAAACAAGTAATAAGTGAAAATAGTATAACAAGGGTAAATGCTGAACAGTTGAGATGATGAGACAGTTAATAAAACTGGATTTCCATAGAATGTGCAACAAGCCTATAGAAAAATCTCCAGAACCATAGAATTAGTGGGGAGCTGTGTCTAGTAAATGCCAAGAAGAGCCAGTTCAACAGCTACACTGCAGCAACAACTGCAGCTGAGTCCCCTTCAGTGACAAGTAAACCTTTGGCTATATGATCAGAGGCACAGTAAAAGAAGCATGTGAGATGAAGCCAAGCATGCAGCCAAGAGATTTCAAAGGATAAAATCCTGTGTTAAAGAACAATCACGAAAGCTAGAACCAACAGGTACTACTAGTACTACTAGTACTAGCACTAACCTCTGTAAAACAGTAATAGAAAGAAAGCATTTGTCTTTTTTTATCATAATTGTCAATAGGTCTGTTGTGCTGAGCTAAAAGTATCATAATCATAAATGAAGTCCTTTAACCAAGATGTAGAACTCACAGATGAAGTAAATGAGGAAACAGACAGGGAGTAATGGTTCAGCTCAGGTAGGAGTTTCAGGCACAGTATCAGTCACTCACCGTCACTGTGAAGCACAGCTGGTGATCTTATTATGAGAGGCAAGGCATCAGCTACAACCCAGGCACTGCTTTGATCCAGGACAATACCAGACTACCTACATTTTGCTGACCATAACCCTCCACTAAGACACAACTCAGCCAACATGCAGATAAAGACAAGAGCATCCAGCTCGGCAAAAATCAGACAGAATTGTGAATCAGTATGATGAAATAATTTTCCCAAGATACCCCAGCAATTTGCAATCCAGGGATTGCTATAGAGGCAAAGAACACACAAAATGAGTCAATTCACAGCTGACAACAGGCAAGAATGTACAAAAAGCAGTAATGTCATCCTCTGGCAAGTTGGAAACTGCGTCCACCAGCTTGAACGTGCCTGTATAGGGAATTGTTTTCAAGATTGTGTCATAAATCTCCATGGTGGACAGTGGATATTTCCATCTGGCTCTGCAGTACAGAGCTCTGCAGAGCAGCTGACATTAGGGCCTTCCTTTTGAACTGATAGTTGTCACTGGGATTTGCTGGCTATGGGGAAATGGAGGCCTGAAGTGCCTGGCTTCAAACCCAAGTCATGGATGGGACTATTCTCCATGTGCTTCCTCAGGCTTGCTTGTGCTCTGACCCTCAGGCCACAGGGTTTCTTTTCTCTTCTTCTTGGCAGAGCTGTGAACAACCACAAGCCTTGTTAAGAACTCTTCACTGAACCAGTGGGTTGCCTGTCCCAGATGCAACGTTAGTAGCACCTGCCTGAGTGTCTTATTCCTATTTACAGACAGCAATACATCCCATTCACTAGTGGAAAACTGCCCTGGAACAAAGGGAACAGTTCTGTGGAGGTAAAGAAACACAGAATATCCCAAGCTGGAAGGGACCCACAAGGATCCAGGCACTGGAATGGGCTGCCCAGGGAGGTGGTGGAGTCCCCTTCCCTGGAGGTGTTCAAGGAACGTTTGGATGTTGTGTTGAGGGACATGGTTTAGCGAGAACATTGGTGATAGGTGGATGGTTGGACTGGATGATCTTATAGGTCTTTTCCAACCTTAGTGATTCTGTGATTCTGTGATCACTGAGTCCAACTCCTGGCTCCACAAAGAACCACCCAAAACCCCGATGTCTGAGAGCCCTGTCTAAAAGATGTGTTCTGCCTCCAAAGGAATATGTTCCTGACAGATTATAGAGAAAATAAAGAGTATATTATAAACAAAATGTATTTTTAAAACATGATTAGTATTTGTTAAAATTCCTTGTGCTAAGGTGCAAATATAAAATCTGAAAATACATAATGTCTTACTGTTTGAAAATCTTGGCACCTGATGTACTACTGGTTGACGTAAGATCTGAAATACACTTGAAATTAAACAGCTTTCTATGTATTTAATTATTAAAACCAACATTACATTGAGAAGTGTTAATTCTCAGTTTATGCCAGTTTTTGACTTAAGTCAAACAGCATGGAAATAAATGGAGAAAATACCTTAAAAAGGGTACCCAAAATACTATCATAGAAACAAGAATGGCTTGGGTTGGGTTAAAAGAGACCTTAAAGCTCATTCAGGGAACCTGTTGTGGGCTGGTTGACCCCCACCAGCTCAGGCTGTCCAGGGCCCATCCAACCTGGCCTTGAGCACCTCCAAGGATAGGGCACCACAGCTCTCTGGGCAGCCTGTTCATTTGAAGCCACCATTTATTCACTGCCACATGGACCAGAATTCTCAACGAGTGGTGTTTACCACATTTCAATCTATTGCAAAATGAAGAAAGCAGCAATAAGAAAGACTCTGTTACATTTCTCATCAATTGACAAAAATTACTAATGCATACTTCACTGCTTTCATACCTGGTTCAGAAATTGCTTGCTTCAGTTGGTTCAAGGGCTGAGAGAGGTGCTCTGGGAGAATAATTTGGAATGACAAGTCATGTGAAATAGGCCACATCATATCACAGTTTCATTCATGGCTCATCAGATTTATAACAATAAAACTAAGAACGATTAAATCTCTGGTCTTACCTACTTTTAAAAGTAAAACACGTACAATCTGAAACCCTTTAATATCTAGGATAGCTGAACTAGTTAGAAGTCAGCTATCTTTTATTCCACAGATATCATCCTATGACTTTTATCATACAGTAGGAAACAGATAGCTTCCTTCCCATTCAATGTAAGCTTTCCATGATATTCGGTGCCTATGTGTGTGTGATACTGAAGGTCTTTTCCCTTTCAGATGCTGCTGTCAGTGCTTCTGGCTCTGCTGGGGTTTGCAGGCGGAGTGTACTGCGCAGTCTTCTCCTCAATGGGGTTGATTGGGGGCCCTCTGTGTGACACGGGTGATGGAGAATACCTCTATCCTTTCAGAAACAACACTCTAGAGTGAGTATGACTTACAGGCTCCTCTCAGTTTGTGTTCCCTGATTTCACTGTTCTTCTTTTCATAGAAAACTTATTTTTTTTAAGTGAACAGATGGTCAACACTGTCTACACCCAAACTCATGCTCCTCTGAGCTGGCATGTTCCAGCTGGTCATCCCTTTGGCCAAGAGCTTACCTATAGGCAAAGTGCCTACGTTTCTCCCATTGTGCTTGTCAGCAACCCCTTGTGCGTGTCGCACCATGCCTTCAAAAGGCAGCTGAGCGATGAGCTGTGACTGTCATCAGAGTCAAGAGGAAGCATTTGATAATTATGCCATATTAATCTGTTAAATCAACATGAATTCAGTCTACTCTGCCTACTTCTGAAAAGTAAAACAAAAATCTCTTTTGATCCTTTAAAGACAAACTTGGCAACCACACTCTTCAGGCCAGACCTAGAGATGATGGATGGGCTGAGATACCTCAGCAGAAAAGGAGAATATGGAGAAATATTTTAAAACCATTAGATACTTTTCCCCTTAGGTTTTAGCACTGCTGTAAGCATGCAGAAAAACATGGGTATAGTCATTAACTGCACCTCTGCAAAGGGAATCCTGAAGAGAATAATCAGATTTACCAATTGCAGTATAATTTGAGACTCCCTTTTCACACTGTGCAAACAAATTCAAAAAATGTAAAGCCAGAAAATGCAAAGCTGTTCTATAATGGCATACAGGTGAAAGCATTCTCATATTCTCTAATACACTGCCAATTATTCTTCTTTATAATAGATACAATTATTTGTTCAACCAGACAACATGGAGCATTTGCAAAGAACCTGAAAACATCATCCTTTGGAACATTGTCCTTTTCTCTGTTCTCCTGGCCATTGGTGTGATTGAAGCAATTCTTTGCTTAATTCAAGTCACCAATGGACTCATTGGCTTTGTGTGTGGCACATGTATGAGGAGAAGAAAGGTTGGTATGCGGTAAAAGATAACAGAGAGCTTTACATTCTTACCACTTCTTTAATGGTAATGGTACTTAATCAGAGAAAGATGCACAAACCCTGACTGAATACCTCTGGAAAACAGAGGCAATTCAGATGCATTTGCACATTATCAATGTGCAAAAAAAATCATTTCAATGTAGACTGGGATAACTCAGCTCTCAGATATTTCAGAATAGCTGAGAAGTGTGATACTTCCCATATTCAGCTGCACATTTGTTTTCCTGCTCAAGAAGACTTTTGGATAAAGTGTAATGGCCCTCCAAAAATGTGTAAGTGGGAAATATAAGAAATAGAGGAATTTTAATTGGTAAAAGTGTCATTTTACAGAACAGTAGAAAACTTCTTTCCTATTTCTTTTATCACCACTGCTTCCCTTCCAATCTTTGCTTTCATTGTACAAGATGCTTGCATGAAGTCTGATGTCCCTCTGGAATATTAATTAACCATTTTTCATTCACTGCCTTTCAGACAAACATTTCGGGAATGTGAACCACCTGCAGGGGATACCAAGACATGCCTTGAGCTGCAAAGTCAGATATTACAAAAATAATGCATTGTGCTGTATTTATGAGGGGGAACAAAGAAACCCACAAATTTTCAGCAGCTTCAGGAGAGTAAAATGGATTTTTTAAATGAAGAAATCAAGACTGAAAATGGCTAGGTCATTCACATCTGAGAGAGATTTTCATCTCTCTAAATACTCCTGCTGAAACTTAGGTAGTGCCAAAAACACAGATCTGTCTGCTCCAGTCTGCCATGTTTATGTATAAAGTAAGGTCCCCACATAGAAGCTCATCATTTGCCCTCTTGTGTTCACGGGAAACCGAATCACTGACAATGTGTGCATTTATCAACTGCACAAAGCAGGATGTAAATAGCTCTGCCTGGATGTAAATAGCTTCCTGTCTTCTCCAGACTCACCTTGAGCTCACATGTGTGTTCCTCTTACCTTGTTACCTGGGAACCCAGTTTTAATTTAGAATCCACAGAGAATATATTGAGCTGCACCCACAGCACTTCAGAGTCAAATGATGCACGCAGACTTTAACCTCCTTCAGCCACCCTGGATCCAAATCCCTGTGTTTGCTATCTTGCTGTCACCAAAGCTCAATTCTTCAGGTGTATCTGCTACATGCAGTAGCCCTGGCAGAGCATTTTGGTCAATGCAGACCATATATTTTGGAGCAAGAGTTTAACTAAGTGCAAAGGAGAACCTCAGCATCAATCTTGCCCTCACAAGACTGTGTAGAAGTCTCACTAAATTCCGCACAGCTTTGTAGGGCTGTTCTAGAATAGATCACATGCACGAGCAATTAACTGGTAAAGAAAAACATTAAATCAATAAGGTGAGTAATTACACACAGCTCAGTAACAAATCAGAGATATAATCTGAAAGGCAGCAAATTGCATAAGTCTTACTGTTACAGCAACAGTAATCCCAAGGAGGATCTGCATAATTCTTCACCACCATTCACAGTCAAGCCTTTCATGCCAAAGCCCATGACTGGCAAGTTTCAGAATCCCCATCAGTCACTGTCTTCCTCAAAGGCTGTTCTTGGGCATGACTTCCCTGAGTCAGGCAAACTGTAATTGTTATCCATCCTGAATGCCTGTAGAGAGTTATGAAAACCTGAATATATCTAAAACTGTTGGAATCCATTTTCCAAAAAGAGGCACTTAAGTTTTCTCAGTCAACTGTTCATATTTCTGTATTGTAGCATTCTGTGCACACCCAGACCTTCCATACACCATATTTGCCATCCTCTAATGCAGCACACGAACCCTTTGCAAGAACTGGTGAAGGAAATGTCAGTAGTGCTAAGACTAGCACACAGACACTTCCTTGAAGCATAACTTCACCCCTGGAAGCAAGCAGAATGACCTATGAAGTTTAAAATGCCTGTTGTAAAGAGAGTGTAAGACTGGTTGAGGTTTGCCAATGTGATTTAGGTGCATCCAAACTTGTCAGGTGGCCTCAAATCTGATGTGCATTGTAAGCAGCAAAGCCTGCACAATACCACCATTAAAAAAAAAAAAACAGACACCAATTGATTCAACTGCAAAGGAAGTCAAGGAGGCAGCCAGAAGGATGCTTAGTATGTAGTCAGATTGAGAGATGGGATTGATGAGATCTTCATGGCCCTTAAACATCAGCCCTGCCCTCATCCTTGAAGTTTTTTCACCCTGTTTCTTATCTCAACAAGAGATTCAGTTTGTGCTGCTCCAGAACCAGTACAAGGAAAGATACTCACCTGTATCTAGCATTCCACGGAAAGGTAAATGTACTGCTGCCACCTCTTTGTACCCAGCTGTCCTGCCCCAGGGATGCTTAGTGTTGTGTCTGTATACTAATGGGGACACCTCTGTAATCACTGGTTTCACTGATAGATGTAAATATTAAATATTGCTATTCTGAAATTGTGTTCTGCTTTGATTTGTGTGACCTAAATGGCTCAAGGCTTCAAACTAGAATTTCAGAATTGGTGTTGCTACTGATTTCAGTTGTGGTCTTTTTTTTTCCAAAATGGAAAGAATTATTTCTTTTATTTTGTACTGGACGCATGAAGAATTTAGTAAAACTAAGGAAATCACAATATTCTTCTTATCTTTTATTTCTACTTGTCCCTTATCTGTCTTCAATCTAACTATCTATCTATACATCTATCGTTTCCATATCTATATTTTCACCCTAAAGAATTGAAGTCAAAACTCAGACAGATATAATGACCAACTATTTGCAAGGATTAAAAAAAAAAAAAAAAGTTGAATTCTTCTCTTCCTCCTACAGCTGAAAATGATGGAGAAGATCAGCCAGATACAAAGCTGTGCTGGTCAGAAGAGATAATACTCCTTGTTAGGATAATGCTCCTAATAAATGAAAGGAAGTGTTCCTGGGGTTACAGTAATAAAACTGTAGACCAAGCACACTATTTGAAAAACTGCTTCAGAGACCAATGGCCTGGTGCTGTAGCTGCCAGGGCTAAGGATGTGATTAATATCTGGGCTGGAAACCACAGGCTGGGTCAGTTGAGTATCCCAAATATTTATCCTTTGTGTCACTGAAGGTATCCTAGAATATCCTGACTGCAGGTCCAGAAGGGCATGTGCCTTCACAGGTGCTCTATAATATCTGCTTGCCCATAGGGACATCTCAGGGGCATCCTCTCCTCTCCTCTCCTCTCCTCTCCTCTCCTCTCCTCTCCTCTCCTCTCCTCTCCTCTCCTCTCCTCTCCTCTCCCTTTCTCCCTTCTCCTTTCTCTTTCTCCTTCTTTTTCATACAATAGATGCAATAACTGAGAGTCACCTAGTGGCAAAAGAACACAACAACAGACTCAATGGGAAATTGGTCTTAATGCAATTTCATGCCCGTATGATGCTTCTTGTAGACACTACATATCAGCAAAACCACCCCAGCTTCAATTAGATTACATACACTTTTTCTCCAGTCTCTTCCATCTCAGTGTGTAAAGTTCTCACTTACATTTTGTCCTACAACTGCTCTACATCCTTCTCAAAAGAATGGTGATGCAGTGGCACAGGCTGCCCAGGGAGGTGGCGGAGTCACGGACCCCGGAGGTGTTCAAGAAATGTGGAGATGTGGCACTGAGGATGTGTTGTGTGGGCATGGTGGAGTTGGGTTGATGGTTGGACTGGATGATCTTGGAGGTTTTTTCCAACCTAACGATTCTGAGATTCTATGAAATGAAGATGTGCTGCCTTTGTATCTCAGAAAGCAGTGCCTTCGGTGGGTCAGCAGTAAATCTCTTTTTCCCGCTCCCTGGGCTTATTTTGATTATTATTGTAAGTTTAGTTCAGACAGCTTTGAACAGATGCAGTCTCAGCCCTCCCTGCTGCATTAGCCTTGGACCTAGAACCTAGAGAAACATGGACTATTTTCATAACATTGCATATCAGACAAAATATAACATTTCCCCTCTTTTAAGCCAAGCTTATTACCCCTCACATCAGTGCTTGTTGGCTATTACCAACAGTAATTCCTGCTCTCTTATTCCCCACTCCTCATAAAAGTAAGATTTAGGTATTTCCCGAAGAAAGAGGAAGACAGAAAAACTGCCACTTCTCAACATTTTGGATTTTGTATCTGTTTCATCTCTTGCAAAGGACAAGAAACAAATACTCAGCAGTTTATAAGACAACGCTATTTTTTTTTTCTGATTTTTTTTTTCCTGTGACTATCAAAGAATATAGCCATCAATCCACTATCCATATCTAAGACCTAAATTAAACAACAGAAAATGGCTCTAAATATACCAGGATTGGTATCTTTGAGTGTATTTTTTACATTCACTTTGGCTGCTGGAATTTGGGCTTCATGGAAAAGCAGAAAGGAGCAGCAGAACCGAAACCCAACTGAAATGGCCATCGTTGGAGGCAGGAATATAAATGTTTGCATGGGATTGTTTACTGCAACTGGTAAGCTTTCTTAAAGGTCTTTTAACATTCTTCTTAAAACTACCCAAATCTAGGGGCCGTTTTCTTTTCAAAGCAAGTTGCCTTTAATGTCAGGGCAGATTTTACCTGAGTGTGGCTTTAAAGGAGTATGGTTTCATGAATCATTTTGGGATGGATTCTTCCAAACCTCTTCATACTGAGCAGAACCTCATGTTTATGTAGATTAAATTAAAGAGCTTAATTTAGGAGTTTAGTTAAGAGCTGGAGAATTTAATTTAAGAGTGCCTGAAGAATGTGACACTTTTCATTAAGGAAGAGTGTGGTCTTAATCTTGAACTAGTTTCTGTTATCCAGCATTTTTCTCCTGGAACAAACCAGTTGAAACAAACTGTTCCTGGCACTGAGCACTTGCTGGGAGCTACAAGGTGAAGTTCCCCTTCCCTGCCCTCCACTTGCATTTTCTCTTCTTGCTGCCTGGCATCGCCTGAAATTTGCTTTTCTGCCTCTTTTTTTTTTCTTTCAAAGGCAGCTCAGGTGATATTTGTCTGAGTAAGACACCTAAGCCCAGCTGCAAGTTTGTTCTGCTAACTGCAGTGCCTGCTTGCATTTCCTTTCCTAGAGTCTACTTCATTAGCAGTGTAAGCAGTACTCACGAAGGATGACCTATCAGCCACAGCAGAATACCAAACTCAGTTCTTTTTGTTCTAGCAAAAGTCTTCCAGTGAGAAAAAAAATGAAATGCAAAATGAGCATATTCAAATTGCCTTTAAGTATCCGAACACTAAGCTTTTCTAAGCATGAATTCATTTTGAACCTCAGGAATTATTTAGAGTGAGACTCTAACAGTTACCTTCCCTCAGCAGAGCGCTCACTCTGGGATGAGATTTGTATCAGAAACTAGGAGTGTGATTAACTGCTTGTTTAAGAAAATGGTTTCCAGGCTCGCCCTGTCCTACAGGACAAGATGAAGATGTGCACCACAAGATTTACCTTTGTGTCTTTCATGTTTGCAGCCACCTGGGTTGGAGGAGCGTACATCAATGGCACAGCTGAAATTGTCTACCTGCCTTCCAAAGGACTGCTGTGGGTCCAAGCACCTGTGGGGTTTGCCTTGTCCCTCCTTATTGGTAAAGAATTCACAGAGTAATCAGGGAACAAAACCATATGAGTGCATTAAGCTGTGTAACAGAGTGTAGAGTACATTATAAATGTGATTTTGTTCTTCCAGTTTCCAAAAAACCCAGAATAAGCATTGATGATGCTGCTTTCCAAATAAGAAACATAAGGAATGAAGGTAGCTCAGAGCTGGTGTAGAGCTTTGTCTGCTTGGAGCAATTTATGCTACAAAAATCTGATCTGATAATTTTGGGAATCTGTGGATATGTGGATGTCACTTTTTACCATAGTCTGTTAGTCACAAACAACTGAGAGTACCACTATCATCTGATTTTTTGCTTTGAAATTTTTGTGTGATGAATTGGTGATGTATCCAGCTGTGTCCCACTCAACAGCTGTTCACAGTTTTGTTGAAACTGAGACCCAGTGGTTTCTGATCCAGTCAAGTCTGCAGTTTCCTACATCTGTCCCAATACCCAGAAATTACTGTGTTTGCACTGAGGTTCTTGCTGAGATTGAGGTTTCTTTCAGTCCACAGTGAGTTATACCATAACTCTAAGGACACTGGAAGATTAAAGCGAGGAGACCTGTACAGACTTTTGCACAAGGATTTCTAAAGGAACAATAACCTTTATTCTCATGTCAGAGAAAAGAGTCCAACTGACGTGAATATGAATCAGGCTTGGAAATATACTGCCAGCATTTCTTATGTGAGCAATTCTTACTAATGAAACTGGGGAGTGCAGGTCTAATCCTGCAATCTTTACTCAGGTCAGTAGTGCCCAGACAAGCAGTTCTGTTGGCTTCAGGGTTAGGCACAATACGTACTTTTTGGTTTTAATGAGATGGCTGTATGACTGAAGACTAATATTTAGATGAGGGTGGGTGAAACTCAGCTCAGTGCACAGATTAAAACAATATAATTCTGGGAAGAGACAATGAAGACACCTAAATGAAAATGTGACCAGAAAAGTAAGTTATATCAACATGTTGCATCACATGGACAAGGACAGAAGTTCATCTATTTTTAGCCAAATATTCAACACCTCTGATGTTTTCCATGGGAAGCATTTCAGGAGACTGTGTCTCAGGTTGGTTGGTCATTGGAGATGAAGACAGACCAAGTCTGGATAGGTATGCTCTAAGCTAATGTCTGAATTTCTGCTACAGTCAATGGAAATGTCCTTCATATGCTCAATGAATCGAGGTTTCAACTCAGTCTTAAGTCTATAGAATCATAGGATTGTTTGAGTTGGAAGGGTCATCTAGTCCAACTCCCTTTGCAGTGAAGGTGGGGACACCTACAGCTAGATCAGGTTGCTCAGAGCCCCATCCAGGGATGCCCCAGGGGTTTGTGTAAGAATTCCAGCAGCCACTCCTGAGACATGTACGACTACCAAAAGTGGAGGAGCACATCTATCAGCTGTAGATGTCCCTGATGACCTAGAATTTCTCAGATGGATGAAATCCCCCATTTAAGCAAGTGGTCTTTGCTGTATCATTCCATAGGCTCCGTTAAGGATGAGTTTCACATTCACTATACAAATTTGAAATGTATTCAACTACTATAGCATTCTTACATTGTTCAAGATGTGCAAAATTCTATTAAAATGTAAACTCTTCTGATAGGTGGTTTCTTCTTTGTAAATCCAATGAGATCCAAGAATTACATGACAGTGATGGATCCCCTTCAGGAAGCATATGGGAACATGATGGGAAGCTTACTTTTTATTCCTCCACTGCTCGGAGAGGTGTTCTGGTTTGCAGCTATCCTGGCATCTCTGGGTAAGTAACAATTTTGCTGTTATATTTATTGAAAATCATATGACACAAACTGCAGAGTGAAATACACGTGTGGTAACTGAATTGGACTAAACTGTGGAAAGTTGTACTTCATGTCTCCTTTTCTGAGAGGAACAAAAATATTTCCAATTTCTGGAAAATATTCTTTTAGATGGCAGTATCCACGATATTGTAACAGAAGGTTCTGGCAATATGATCATAGAATCATAGAATCACCAAGGTTGGAAAAGACCTAAAAGATCATCCAGTCCAACCGTTCACCTATTACCAATAGCTCCCACTAAACCATGTCCCTCAGCACCACATCCAGTCTTTCCTTGAACACCCCTGGGGTCGGTGACTCCACCACCTCCCTGGGCAGTCCATTCCAGTGCCTGACCACCCTTTCTGAAAAGTAATACTTCCTAATGTCCAGCTTGAATCTCCCCTGCCGTAGCTTGAAGCCATTCCCTCTGGTACTATCACCAGTTACACAAGAGAAGAGGCCGACCCCCAGCTCACTACAACCTCCCTTCAGGTAGTTATAGACAGCAATGAGGTCTCCCCTGAGCCTCCTCTTCTCCAGGCTGAACAATCCCAGCTCCTTCAGCCTCTCCTCATATGGCCTGTGTTCCATATGAGGAGAGTTCCTGTGTTCCATATGATTTAGTACCTTCTTGTCTGGGGAAGAAAAGGTGCAAGGAGTCAAACTGACTGGGCTAAGGCCATGCAGCAAGGCAGCAACAGGAAGGGTACATGGGCTCCCTTGGGTCCTCACTGCACTCCTTCTGCTAGATCATGAACTCCTCCACCAACATGGTGAGCTGACTTCAAGGGCGGAATGTATCCTTATTTATTCTGTATTCTAATGTATGAAATCTCCATTAAAATACTTGACTGCTGTCCTTGTCTGCAGGAGCAACAATGAGGGTCATCTTGGATATCGGAGGCTCTTTAGCTATCACCCTCTCAGCGTGCACAGTCATACTCTACACTCTACTGGGAGGCCTCTACTCTGTTGCATACACAGATGTCATCCAGTTGGTTTTCGTTACCCTCAGCCTGGCAAGTCCTGTGCATTTCTTTGTTACCAGTTTCCTAACCAAGGGACAAAATCTTTCTCTTTTCAGCATGTCTTCATGAAAATAATTTGATCAGTATTATTTCTTTATCCTCTTCAGAACAAGTCTCCTGAAAGGTCTTAAAATCCTTATGCATTTTAGACATTGCTGACACAAGCTATTGGCCTTGCTGGATGACAAGCTGCTCACAAGTAAGGTCAGCAGAGCTTGTCCAGGACAATCTGGGCTGGAAATGAGAGAGATTTGTCTACTGAAGTGATTCATGTACTTGATGATGCCATGAACCAGAATCACGTAGACTTAGAATAAAGAAGGTGGGGAAAGGAAGACTCCAAGTCTGGGTTTAAGGTTATGTAGCTTTATACTCTATACATTAACTGGATTTCAATGTCTGAATAAATTTTCCTAGAACAAGAATCCTGGAGAAATGATAAACTATTTCAATTTCTATCCTAGCTGGTCTGTATTCCCTTTGCCCTGATAAACTCTGCAACAGAAAGTATTTACTACACTGCAACTCATAAACATTACCAAGACCCCTGGATTGGAAAAATAGAAAAACAGTATCTTGGAAGGTGGTTGGATGACTTCTTCTACCTGGTATGGAATATTTTCTTGGGCAAGTGATTGGAAGAAGTAATTATGTGGGATTTTCTGTATGGAAAGCTTATGGATTCTTCCAGTAGTACTAAAATGCACTGGGCAGGGGCAGGACGAGGTATAAAACTTTCTCTCAGCCGTTCTGCTGAATGGACCTCAGCACACTGAATGGACCTGGAAAAGCCAGGGCTTAGCCCTGAATAGGAAAGGAGGGGTAGGGAAGCATCCTGCACCCGTGTAAAGGAATATACCTCTTGAGTAAGACTATCCAGACAACTAATTCTACTCCAGACACAAAATGAGGCACTTCCTACCACCTGGTATCTTGGTTTTTCAGCTTCAATAATGTGCTTTCAACATATTTATGTAAAATTTCCTCTATTTAAGAAAATCTATTAAAACAGCTCTATTGCAGGTCATCACCATGGTGCCAAGAATGATGCCATTGGCTCCACTGCACAACTCAGCTTTTGAGCTACCAATATAGCCAGGACTGCAGTGGGTTGTTACAATCTCACTAGATTGGTAATGTGAACACTTTGCTTGGTGAGGACAGAATCTTCAGATTTCATCTGATGCAATTTGTCTGTTAAGCAAGTGAAAATAATTATTCACATTTTAATATGATTTTTTTAATAAGTTATACCCTAGTTAACTTTAGGCAGATTTTGACAAAAGTTGCATTCTTGAAAAACTTATCTTCAGCTGTCCTTCCTCTGATTCTCCTTTACCATGGCAGAGAACCTATTTCCCAACTTTCTCCACCTGCAAAAGCATTAACCTGCTTTGATCAAAATTTCACATCCATGGCAATTAAAACAAAGGACGCCCTTAATGAGAAATATTCAGCCTCAATGACTAAAGCTGGGCAAAGTTTATGCATTTGAAGAGAGGGTTTAATAACAGGAAAGATTATCAACCATCTGAATGAATAGATGATGCTGTATAGCAAGCAGGAATCCAGTAATTACTGCTGTTAACATCTGAATATTTCAGGTGCTTGGGAGCATCCCATGGCAAACTTTCTTCCAAAGAGTGCTCTCTGCTGCCTCACCCAGCCAAGCAAGGTTCATCTCCTACCTCTCTGGACTAGGATGCTTTTTAATGGCCATCCCCTCCGTGCTCATTGGTGCAGTTGCAGCATCAACAGGTAAAGCTGAACTATTTGTACGAACATGTTTTTTTCCAAAGCTGTTTAAAACAAGGGATAAAAAAGCCCTGATCAAATTTCCTACTAATGCATGCCAACTGCCTAAAAACCCACTATGGGAGATGTGGCCACCAAGCTAGAAGCCTGTACCAGAAATGTAGAGCTCTAGAGACATTTAAACCACCTCCAAATCTGTCTAGAGCTGTTTCATTGTGGTGAAATGATCTTTCATGCACATTGCAGTGAGGAAAGAGGAAGGCAGAACCATAAAACATTGTATAATCTGGTTTTCCTGGAAATGTTATGCTTGCTTCTCTTAATGCCTTCTGCATGTAAGACCCAGTAGTACTACTATAGATTGCTTTTGATGTTAAGGAGAAAATCTGCTTGGATGAATCAAGTTCAGTTCTATAAACCCACAGCCCCCACCCAAAGGAGTTCAGTTCTACATTGACTGTGAGCAGGGTTAAATAGCATTATTCAGATCACTGAATATTTATAGAAATCAACTGAAATTCATCAGTCATTAGGGACATCAGAGCAAAACTTCCTTCTCCTCTGAGAGACCTCTGATAAGTGAAGTCTAGAAGACTGATCTTCAAACATCCCATTCCTAGAAACACACAAAGCACAGCTATTTCTACTGATGCTGATGGTAAAAAGGAAAAACTTTAAACTAGTAAGAACTGCAGCATGCTTAGGAAATCACAAGAGATCATAAGAGAATACAACAAATGAATACAAGTCTGAAAATGCTTAGCAGGCTTCAGTCCTTAGCCCTGCTGTGACTGGTTTCTATCGAAAGAAATGTCAACGAAGGATCTGTTGTGAGTTTTTCTTTTTCTGTCTTAAAGATTGGAACCAGACAAGCTATGGTCTTCCAAGTCCACTCGAGAGAGGAGAATCTGCTATGATATTGCCATTTGTTTTACACTACCTCTGCCCAGCATACGTCTCCATTGCTGGCTTGGGAGCCATCGCTGCTGCCGCAATGTCTTCTGCAGACTCAGCTCTTCTCTCTGCTGGCTCCATGTTTGCTCACAATATCTATAGAAAAATCTTGAGGAAAAAGGTACTTTGTTACAGCATTCAGCAGCTTTGGTGTCAGGATAGATGTTTTTGTTTTAGGACAGATGCAAACTTAGTCTGCACTGCCCACAGTTAGAAGTGTCTGTCCTTCAGCTGCTGAATTGAGCTGTGGAGGCAGATTTTGAAACAGAGGTCAGGGCTATTCATAGAATCATATTATCCACAGAATGATTAGAGTTGAAAGGGACCCTAAAGCCCATCCAGTTCTAATACCCTGGCACAGGTGGGGTCACCTTCTACTAGACCAGGCTGCTCAAACCCACATCCAGTCTGGCCTTGAACACTTCCAGGGATGGGACATCTATAGCTTCTCTGGTAACCTGTGCCTTTTTTTTTTAATTCAAAACCCTACCCCACTACTACTTTTCCACCTCTCCAACCTGTCCAGGTCCCTCTGGATGGAATCCCTTCCCTACAGTATGTCAACTACACTATGCAGCTTGGAGTCATACCCTCAGCAGGGATACAAATACCTACAGCAGTGAGCTTTGCTCTTCATAAGACGACTGATAAAAAAAAAATTTGGACCAGGATATGAACAGAAATAGCATAAAATCAACCCTCAAGATTAGAGGGTGCAGCTCCATTGTGGGCTGTGGGAGCCATGATCAGAGGGGAAACCCCAGGTGACTGCTGGAAGCAGTGAGGCCTTGGGTGGCACCCAGTCTAGGGCAAGGCAGTGCTGTGGTAATGTTACAGTCTCCTCTTTTACAGGCTGCAGACAGGGAAGTCTTGTGGGCCATGAGGACCTCCATGCTGGTGTTTGGGGCTGGGGCTGCCAGTCTGGCTTTTTACTCCAACTCTGTCTACGACCTGTGGTTCCTCAGCGGGGAGCTGGTGTACGCCCTGCTCTTCCCACAGCTGTGTTGTGCCCTCTTTGCTCCCAGCAGCAACACGTATGGTTCGGCTGCTGGTTTCTTGGTTGGACTCCTCCTGAGGCTGCTGGCAGGGGAACCTACCCTGAAAATCCCCCCCATCATCTGCTATCCAGTCTGCACCCTCCTGGATGGGTCCTACATGCAGCTCTTCCCCTATAAGACATTCATCATGCTTTTCACTTTGGGGACGATCATTGCTGTTTCATATCTGGCTACAGTTTTGTTTCAGAGAAACCTTCTTCCCCGCAGATGGGACATTTGCAATGTCCTGGGGGAAACCAGCACTCACACCCCCCTGCGTCAGATGGACAAACAGACCGGTTTGCAAACAGTGCCATTGGAAGAGAATCATGATTAAACGCGGGACCTTGAAGGGACATGTTGCATTCAGCAATTAGAGTTTGGCACTGCTCTTCCCTTTGCTTTCTCCAGTAACAAATTATTTAAAGTCCTCACGGAGTAATAAAGACGCACTCCATTCATGCAAGGAGAATGAGTGAGCTCAGAGTCTGCCATGATTAAAGGCACACAGTGATGGGGCATGATGCTGTGGTAGTGACCAAGGGGCACCCTGGGCCCAAGTGGTGTTTGTTTTAGGGTGTCCCTTGTTCCCCACCTGAAGGCAAGGCTACCAGTCGTGCTCCAACATTTATGATGTTCTCAAGTCACGTAGTTTTCTCACCTCAAAAGGGACAAATTAATGTTTAATAGATTGAGCACACTTGATTAAAAAGGAAAAAAAAAAAAAAAAAGTGCACAAATCTGTTCCCATTGAAACAGCTAGGGTTTTAGTGTAAACTTTCCTGGGGAGGGGATCAGATATAAAACAAAGATTATTGAATGCCATGTAATCTCCTCAATCAGTAATATTAGTTCTACATTAGTCTTTGTATTATTTAGGAAGCTTTTGCATACGCTTCTCCCCAGCTGTGGTCTAAGGTTACACTGTCCGTCTGATGCTATGTGGCTGTGGTGAGGACGTCCCTTCTCCTATGACCTGGTCTGGCAGATCAGATGAGCAAGATCATGGAGCCATAGAATCACAGAATCATTCAATCGTACAATGGTTTGTGTTGGAAGGGACCTTAAAAGCTACTTAGCACCACATCCCTGCCATGGGCTGGTTGCCCTCACCAGCTCAGGCTGCCCTCATCAGCCTGCTCTTGAGCACCTCCAGGGATGGGGCACCACAGCTCTCTGGGCAGCTGTGCCAGGGCCTCACCACCCCATTTAGGGGCCTAAATCCATCCACCACAGCCAACAGAACTGGGCAGCTCCTCACCACCAAACCTTCACAGAGCAGTAGTGGGAGCTGCTGTGCATGGAAACGTGTGGCATGGGAGAGAAGATGCATACTGACATATCCTCAATACCCCACAGCAGAGCAGCTGGTGGTCAGCTGAGTGGAGAGGATGAAAGCAATATGCTATTTAGTGAGCTGCATATACACAGTGAAAAGCAATGCTGATGCCACCATGCACTCCTGTGTCACACTCTTTGAGGATCCACGTGCTACTCCCATTTATATCAAGGCATGGTGCAGTGGCCTGGGACAAAAACTGGCAGCCCATTACTGTAGATACGGCTTCCTGCCCTCCACAGGGAGCACCCTTTAAAATACCTTCCCCAGTATCATCCTCGGGAAGATAGAAATCCTGATGCTCATCAGAAAGATATCGTATAACCTTGTGCTATTGTTGGTAGGCACCTGTATACAGCAGTTCTGTTGATATGCTTTGTTAAACTCAGTCCATAAGTTCATTCCTGTGTATCTAGAGACAGTGTTTAATTAGAATACATGTTTAGAGAAAGGAAAAATAGACGTTTCAAGAATTAAAAGCCCCAGGCAGTTACCCACTGAAATCTTTCATGCTCTAGTGATGTGAGTGGGAGTATGGGAGGTTGTACTTAGCTAAGGGAGACACCAAAGCTATCATTACTATAGCGCCAGAAGAACTGGGCTGCTGTTAAATCACAGTTGGTATATGTTCATTCCAGCATACCCTCCTGATTTAGGGATGACCTAGTTTGGGTACCCAGACATCCATCTGTGTGGAGCAGGTGGAGCAGACCAAAACTTACAAAATGCACTTGCATAAGGGCACAGACCTGCTGTGTGGTCCAGTCAAAAACATAACTCCAAATTCCTCATGTCAAGGTAAGCATCCTAACCACTGACCACCCTACCCAATGGCAGTGAAGGGTAAATGACGAGATCTGGGCATATCTTTTCACCACTCAGGTTGCCCAGAGAGGCACTCAAGATCAGGCTGGATGAGCACCTGATCTAATGTAGGAGTTCATTGCAGGGGAGCTGGACTAGGTGGCTTTTAAAGGCCCCTTCCAACTCAAACAATTCTATGGTTCAATAATTCTGTAACATTGCTGAAGAGCGTCACCACCACAGTCACATCACCACTATGCCACATCACAGCCACAGTCACATCACCTCCTGACATCACCACAGAAAACTCGCAGTGACTTCAGATAGGAATGCCTTGGTGCTGTAGTGGGGTACCTGGCACACTCAGCACGCTTTGCCCTTACAAATTCAATTCTGAATTCAATACTGCTGAAACACACTCTGCTGTGCGTGGAGAGACTGAAATGGCAAAGATACAATTACTGTAACTCTCCTGAATGTTTACCATTTTTCATCCTTATATGACTCCCTCCTCAGAACATTAAAAGGAAAACATTCATCAAGGTCAGACAAAGTTTTGAAAGCAATTAGCTGCAAGTAAAATAAATACAAAAGCAATTCCAGTCTGTACTTAATGACAAAATGCCTCGTTGTTCCAGTCCAGCACACCCAGTGCCTTTTTGGTACTGCCAGCATAGGGGATGTTGACCCAGCACACACAGAATCATTCTTCCCACAGGTTGATGCCTCCAGTTCATTTAAGTCTTTTTTCTTTGCCCCCTCTTTGTAAAGAAAAAAAAAATTGCCTGGGGACTGGGGGGTCCCAGTGTGCCCTTCTATTTGTGGATTTACTGCCTTTGTATCCCAGATATGTCCATGACAAGGTGTCTGTACAGCTCAAGTTTTCATTAACACAAATGACATATAGCTCAGTTTTCCTTTAGTTTTGCTGGGAAATGTTTTTCTTCAACACCAAACAACTTCAAGAAGAGTCAATATTTTGTTTCAGTTCTTTGGCCAAATGGACAAATAGGATTGGGGTTCTTTGTTTTTCTTCTTGGATCAGTTTGTGTTTTTCTAATATTTTGTCGGACTCTTGAAGCAGTGTAGGAACTGTCTTGCCAAAGATGTCTGTTTTCCTCCTTGTTGCTGCAGTTTCCCCAACCATCTATCCTGTCTGACTCTGGATGTGCTTCTGGACAGGTTGGACTCCACAGATACGCTTTTAGGAACTCATTTGGTTCACTTCTGCTTTATTTTCCCAATTCCTTAGAGAGGGACAGCATTTTAACATTTAATTCCAAGAAGGAATTGTGAGAGCTTTGAAAGAAAGCTGTGTTATACATCGAGAACACTGATTTTACATGAGTTGAGACCTTCTGTTCACAGTTGGAGGGCAGTTTTCCTGCTCTGTCTAACTCACAATCCTGAAGCACTGGAGGTCCAAGATAACAGAAATCCAGCTTAGCTTGCTGCATGTCCTTGTTTACAAAAACTGGGGAAAAGAGACTGGAATGGTCTGGATCCTTAATGTGAAAATAAATGTGATAAGGACTCTTCAAGGCTCAGGGTTTCATTGCAGTTTGTCCATGACAACAAATAGAAAGATTATAGAAGTGGAGAAAAGAGGTTAAAGGTTAAATTAGCAGCTGGATGGGGTTTGGGTCAGCTGCCTTAGAGGAGATTAAGAACCCTCTGAACATTACTTCTGCTGGACACTCCATGGAACAGGGAAAGGATGCAGGGGGACTGAAATGCTAAATGACTGTTGGAGTAGATAATCTTAGTGGTTTTTTCCAACCTCAATGATTCAGTGATTCTGTCATTATGTGAAATGCATCAGCATGGTGAAGCATGCCCAGGCTCCTATGTCAATTAGTGGAGAGAATACAGTCAGACCATGGGGGATGTTAGAGCTTGCATAGCCCACTAGAATAGCAATGGAAGACCACAGAAGCTGGAGGAACCAAACAAAGGGGAAGGGTTTAAAACTAAAAGAGGGGAGCTTTAGGTAATATGTCAGAAGGAAATTATTTACTCAGAGGTGGAGAGGCCTGGCACAGCTGCCCCAAGAGCTGTGGTGCCCCATCCCTGGAGGTGCTGAAGGCCAGCTTGGATGGGCCCTGGGAAGCTGCTGGGGGCAACCAGCCCATGGCAGGGGTTGGGGCTGGCTGGACTTTGAAGTCCCCTCCAACCCAAGCCATTCTGTGATTCAATGAGTCTGTGATTCCATGGTTCCAAGACTCTACAATTAATACACTAGCACTCATGCAAAGACAATAATCAATGCCCCAGGTCCTGGGAATGAACTGAGAGGATGAAATATTTACAGCAAGCAGACTTGGAGCAACAAACACCAGTACCTGGGTATGACAACATCTCCTGGCAGGCAGGATCCAGTGTGATGCCCAGAGGCTTCTGTTGCCTTGGGCTTCATTGACATTTTTAGACTTCTTCTGTGAAGCATCTGGGCTGCTATCAAACATCACTTTGATTTAGAAGCAAGAACAATGAAAAATCAGTGCTTTGTACGTTAGGTAAATTAACTGATTAACTGAAAGGTCTTGAAATGTAATTACAAGCAGAAAATCATCATCCAGTATGTGAATCTCTAGTGAGGTTGATTCTTGGCTCTATACTACTGAACTGCATTTATCGATGGCTGAGTAGGCAATGAAATGCAGTCCTCATCCTGTCCTCAGCCGGGCAAACAAATGTGATGCACTTCAATATGGGCTAATGGACAGTCTAAAACAGATGATTAGAGCCAGATCAGGTAAATGGAAGCCCAATGCTCAGTACAAATACTTGCTGAAAGGAAACCCTGAATGATGCAATGAAATGTAATGTTGAAAGTTATTTTGGATGAATCACAAGAGCATGTTCCTGTGGCTTTGGTGACATCTCTTCATCTCACAAATAGGGCTTATGGAAAGATCACAGAATCCGAGAATGGTTGATATTGGAAAGTTAAAACTAAACAAATTCAGAATACAGACAAGGGTCAGCTTTGTAAACTGTAAGGTCCATTAAATGTTATAAATGTTAGAGCAATTTGCAAAGGATTGAGATGGATTCCTCATCGCTGAAAATGCTACAGTGTAATGGGAAGCCTTTCTGAAAGTTGTGTTGTGTTTTAAATGGAAGTTTATTCAGGAGAGATCTGAATGTGATGTCCAGCCCCCGAATCAGATCGGCAAACACCAGTGATGCATTCTGTTCACCCTCACTACCTGGTTACAGGTAGCATCTTAACACAGAATCATAGAATAGCTTAGGTAGGAGTGGACTGCAAAGCCCAGCCAGCCCCAACCCCTGCCATGGGCTGGTTGCCCCCACCAGCTCAGGCTGCCCAGGGCCCATCCAGCCTGGCCTTGAGCAGCTCCAGGGATGGGGCATCACAGCTCTCTGGGCAGCTGTGCCAGGGCCTCACCACCTTCTGAGTAAAGAATTTCCCCCTAACATATAACCTAA